GTCCTAATGAATCGTTGGTTGTACTTCATTACTGATAGAAAACACTTTACTGAAATATTCCGAAAAAGCTGAGGCTTTATCGGAATCGTTTCTTGCCAACATTAACGGATTTACCTGTATCAAATGTGATGGAATTCCATTGCTTCTCTGAGTTCGCCTTTTATGTATGAGAATAGCCGCTTCGAACTATATTTACAATCCCTAAAGGATTATTCTTCATATGGCTATCCAGTCTTACTTATTAACGCTTTACAAGCATTCCTAATCATACAATAGCTGGATCGGTAATGTTGTGCGAGGCTCAACCTGATCATATATCATCTCACTAGCTTTAAACGTGAATAACAAAACAGCATGATCGATAATCACCGACGGTGGAAGAATATTTATGTTTGCAATATCCTCAATCTCATGAGTGAATATCAAGCTTAACAGAGAGGAAGCTTGGTTTGCACCGAAACATGTGAATTTGTAAACATGTTCTGCTAGTGCATGTCTTATTACTGTTATTCGGAACCTACTATCAAAGGAGTTTATGGATCCTTCCGTGTTCAGCTCAGTCCAAAAAATATAAGGTAGATTAAAGTCTCCTATTAATAAGCATCTGTTACCTGCAGTACATAGCTGAATTCGCTCTAAAATAAAGTCATGAATTAAGCAGACTAAACGCGATAGATGACAGCGAGTATAAATATACCACATCCGATAGACAACTCACATCTAATGACTTCACAAGTCCCGCTATCATGAGATTGGCTAGCAGAGGAGCGGATATTTACATTATTTGCTATGTATAAAAGGATACCACCTCCTTTTGTACAACTATGCCTATCACTTCTTACGTAATGGTATGCGGACAATTCTGGGGTAATATTTCAGTCATGGACTAACCAAGTTTCTGTCACTGCCACAAGGAGTGGCCGTAATTTGTCTACTAATGCTTCCAGTTCATAGAATGTATTTCTTAGACTACGAGCGTTAGCATGCAAAACGCCCGATGAGGACTAGTGCCGTTTTACATTTTTCTTCTATCTTCAAGAGACATATCAGGTCTTAATCAATAACGGGTATTGTCGTGACTACGAGTGTTGCTTAAAAGAATATCACGTTGTTTCTCCGGCCCTAGGATTATCTTAAGGAGATTATATTGTTGGCGTTTAACACTTTCGTTGGTCCACTTAACTATTCCAACCAATTTTCGGACCTTAAACCCTTAAGAGTGATCTGGTAAGAATATATTCTTCGACTATCCTTAAATCACTTGCGTTTGTACGCACTACGATAACAAGTTCTTCACTGTCAGTAGTCGTTTAACCAGCGCAACCATCATCGTTCTTCTTACTGGCCAGAGCTAATGGGCTCATAACCCCCTAGATTAGTAACGTCTTATTTGTACAGCAAAACATGCAGAGCCAATGCGAATTAATATTCCAGTATCATTTTCATGCGGTGAGTATACGTCCCATGGAACTACTTATTACATTCGTCGAAGTATTTTACGTAGACATCTGTTAATAGAGACTTGTATCTTCTGGATGATAGCTTTCGTAGGTCTCCAAGGTTTTACATTTTCCAAATCCTCTCCGTCAAGTGTGATTTCATTGTTGCAGGCTGTGTTTCTTTGTTAAAGACAACTGATCCATTTTGAGGAACATAAATATGAAAACGACGTTAGACAACGTGTTAGACAATAATGTATTCCGGAATATGTGTGTTTCCTCATTTCAACTGAATTTCCAATGTGTTTTGAGATTAATTTTATGTTATTAATGGTCATATCACTACAGTATTCAACTTTTGAAAATCTTTTGTGGACTATCCCAGGTGTGTTTATTTTCAATTTGTCCATTCATTCTGGTAAAATGTCCCAAATCTCATTCCATTTTCCCTATATACTTCAAACTGAAAATTTGACTTATGTTTCAATTCAACAAATAACCAATTAATAAATCATCTGTGGTACTGTTAAGATTGGGCTGAACTAAAAAGTCTCTTCAAAGCACTATTGACAACATAGTTTCTGTGAAACGAATAGAAATTGGGGTGACTGAACAAGAACACGGGTAAATTTCATTTTGGTGAGTTACACACTCAATAGTACTTGGAGTGTTCTTTACTAGAAATTCTGTCCATATTCAGTGTCTCAGAATTATTTGTCTTACAACTACGGTAGAAGTAGAAAACTATCCAACTGAACTATTTAGTTGACATCACGAATCAATATAAATCCAACAACCATCGAAATCTTTCAACCAGTGTACAACTGTAAGTCCTCCACTAACGGTCATTGATTATTCTCATGAAATCGCTTACCAATCAGTTGATCGTCTCATTAGAACACAGAACTGTGTCTGACAGACGACTTAAAACACGTTCACAGCATTCGTCAAGTCATGTTAATTATTACGCATCAATTTTATGCTAATGACATAAACGGTTTTCAATTTTAGATTTATATTACTGTAAAATCTATTAAGTAGTAGACTGAACAAATCGCAACAAAACACTCGTGATCACATTATACATCTAATAATTTTGTTTCTTGTATCGCTCATATTGTAAATCCGTGTATAAAAGTTCATTTTGTATTTCTTCTTTAAAGCTCCATGTTTTATTCTTTAATAAACCTCATACTTAGACTCCCCATATGTTTAGTGTATCTGTTACATTTTGATTGATTATCTCACAATTATTTAACAACATTCAGTTATTGTTGTTTGCTTGTATATTCCTATTGTTGTTTAGCACTGTAAATAATCAAGTTTTTTGTTGGAACATATGCATTCTGTGCGGATTGCCTCGATGACGCCGTAATTCACAATCATTATAAGCAAAGATGTGTGGTGGCTAGCAGTGGAATTCACTTTGCAGCGTGTTTCGTCTTATTTTGGAGTCGTCAGCTGGATGTACCTGCATTTCAGAAATGATGTTCACTCTGGAAATCAAACCCAGTACCGTTCACGTGAAATATCATCACGTTATACACTTAGCCACCGATTCCTGATAGTCACTTGTTTGTGCAATGGGGTGAAGTTTAAATACACTTGGTGTTGTTTTACTTGTATTTTTCCGTTGTTGTTTAGCATTGTAAATGATCAACCACTTATTGGAATATATACATTCTGTGCGGATTGCCTCGATATTGCCTTAAGTCACGGAAGGACGATGACATAAAGTGCATAGAAAAGTTTAACTGTTGAAACAGAGTTATTTAATGAGTAAAATTTGAAGTCGAACTACAAATGAATAATTCATCATACAGTGAGACAGCTGAATCGGTAACGAAAATCTTACAGCGCACTAGAATTTAACATAGTAGGCTTACTTTAAAGGTATGAACTAAAGATGCTTAAATTTCCTTCACACTAACATCAGTAAATAATTTATAGAAATTTGTTAAAGTATGAAGGAGATCAGTTCATTATCTAGATCGTCTTACTCATCGACTCGATCATGTCTCTTGAAATATGTTACATTTCCATGTTATTTTCAGTTCATAAGTGGGAACGTTAAACTGACTAGTTATCCATAGTGTTTCATATCTTCTTAATTAATTGTTGGTGTGCAAACAAAAAAACAATCAATTATGAGACAATTGATTGACAGTTTGAAAATGAAGAACTTGCTCTACGGTCCTCGGATTTTGCTGAGGGATTCTGTAATTTTGTATTCAAATACATTTGATTGTTGTCATAAGAGAATGTTGTGGAGATTTTATTCATTTAATAGTTGAATTGATGAGTCAATTAAAGCTAGACCACCATGGAAAACCTAAAATCATTGGACGACCGTTTCGTCCCATTGTGGAACTCTTCAGCACTACGCATCTAGATACCGCTGACAGACCTCAAACCAGGACCTTTAGCCTCTCTCGCTAATGCTTAGCCTCTATACCACTGAGCCGGAAACTTAAACTGTTAGTGTCTAAAATCAACCATTTAACGTCGACCATCTTCCATTTTCTGAGGTAGACACCTATCTCTACCGGACACGGATTGAAATCGAGTCCCGAGTGCAGCATTATTGATATGCATCAGTGAAGAATCCCATTCTAGGACGAAAGTTTTATCTTCATAGTCTTCTGCTACCAGTCATTCAACATTTGACTAGTGTTACATACTACTTATATCTATCGACATCAGTAGCATACAGCACAGATATATAACAGTTTGATGATATCGGTAATGCATGTCTTATCCACTTCCGACGTCTTTGCCTAATTTTCACTTCAACTAAATCTACCGATTACATTCAAACGTCCATCAACATTTTAAACAAAATATGAATAGTGGCACGCGTGTTTCCTCCTATTTGGGACTCATCAGCTGGATGTACACGCATCAGAGTTGATGTTCACTCTGGGATTCGGACTCAAAAATGTTCGCTTCAAACCCAGTCACGTTATTCAAGTAAACACTACCAAGTGAATCCAGTAATATTTATTTTCATTTATTCTCGGAGTTCTAGTGAGAAGTCGTGACAAGTGGAGCTAATCTATGTGAAAACAGGTATCTACCTCAGTATAAGGGAAGATAGTTGCTCAATTTCGTAGGTTAGTTGATGTTAGATATTAACACCGTTGGATACCGGCCTGGCCAGTTATTCACAGGTTAAGCGTTCGCACGCAAGACCGAATATCAGGGGTTCGAATCCCGGGTGAGGGATTGCAAACACGTACTACTGAAGAGTCCCACAGTGGGATGAAACAGCCATCCAGTGCTTCCAGGTTTTCAATGGCGATCTCACATCAATCGATTCATGATCTCAATCAAAAACTTAATAATCTCCATAACCTCATAATGGTATTTGTAAAAAATTAGAAGGGAATCGGAAACATATAATACCGAATGAATAACAATACACATTATGTAACCATCGGACAAATGATAAATAACACATATTGAATGTTAAAGATAATACACATAGAAAAAAAATCGTAACATCAATCCATTATATGATCTCATTCATTTGTTTATCTAAATGAATTAGGCAGATATAAATTAATTATGTAACTTTGGTAAACCACCTGCTATCATTGATTCAATGCCACATTCATTTTTACCACGTAAATTTTTAAAATAACCATGATCACCCCATTGATCATTCCATGAATTAGCACATAACCAATAGGGTATATGATTATGTTCAATACCCCAACCAAGTATACGTATAGCATGACCACCTAAATAGGAACCAGTGATATGTTTATAAACACCAGATTTATAATGAAGAAAATCTTCATAGACATAGAATCCACCTTCAACTGGACCATTTAATAAAATCTCTTTCATGATTGAAATTTCTTCACTGGCTACATTATAAGAAGTTTTACCTTTTGCAAATGAAGAGGAAAAAAAGCAAATATAAATTGAACGGTGGTGTGTACTACTGATATCAACATATATAAGTAGTATGCATCATCATCAATGGAGAATGAAATGACTGAAGGCATAAGGTTAGGAAGATCAAAGAAAAGTGAACCACAACATAGGATGATTGGTGTGGAAATGAAAAGACAATCAAATGTGAGACAATTGATTGCCATTTTACAAATGAGGAATTTACTGTACGGTTTTCAGATTTCACTATGATGTTCTGTAATTATGTGTGTTCAAATACATTCGATTGTAATCAGACAGGGGTTTTGTGGAAATTATAGTAATTTAATCGTTGAATTCATTAGTTAATTGAAGCTAGACTAGACCACTGAAAACCTGGAAGAATTGGACGGCCATTTCGTCTTGGTATGGGATTCCTCAGCAGTGCGCATCCACGATCCTGTTCGTGGGATTCGAACTCATACCACCAAGTCGGCAACCAGCGCTGTTAATGTCTAACTTCAACCAATCCACGAAATTACGCCACCTTCCACTATTGTCATCAGTGAGTTAATATCTCATAATAGACCCGATTGAACTCCACTGGTCACGGCTTCGCACTAAAACTCCAGGAAATACCTCTAGGAGAACGTCACTGGCGAGATGATGATGATTAAGGGCACAATCAGATAGGGTTTTCGTGGATATTATAGTAATTTGATAGTTGAGTTCATTCGATTGTCCTCATTTGTCTGTTCTCATTCACAACAATATTAGTAGTAGTAGTTGTTGTTGTTGTTGTTGTTGTAGTTGTAGTAACCACATATCTGAGTATATCGTCAGTGATGGATAGTTACCCTTCTATATTTTATTGGCAATTTTAACGTCAATAAAAAAATTTCTATGGAATACTGTCTATATTTGTTTGATCACATTGTTCTTCAAGCTGATTGATTTCTATCGATTAACTTGTCATGTTATTACTGATCTAAACAACTTGAAGGTAGATTTTGGACCAACACAAATAGTTGTTACAGTCATAGACGTTTTCACTCATCTATTCTGATTGAGACTGAACTAGATTGTCTTCATGACCAGATTTAATATCAGTTTGTGTTGAAAAACTATCAGTGATTCGTAAGACCTGGATTTAAAGCAAGTAATCTCATTTGACGACTTATGTCATCTTTCTAGATATAATTCTTTATAACTCAGTCAATCAGCTACAATGTAGGACCAGGCACATATGTGCATCGGTCCATGTTGCTACAACTCATTAGTACAACAAGATGATACAGGGAGAACGAATGAGTTAGGAGAAAAAAAGATATAAAGTAATTTTATTCTCACAGTTTGAAGGGAAAACAAAGGATGTGTGTGCATACACCATTGTGATCGATTTTGAGCCATGTCCCCAGGAGTCTCCAACCATTGATTACGATAGTCATGCGGACCCCAACCGAGTAGTCTGCATATACCAACATGGCTGGGACTAGAAATTAGTGACTTCAGGCACTGATGTTACGTTTTGGTTTGGCCGCCCCCAACTTTCTTCCAACCAACTCCAACACCGGTGTTCGGGCATACGTAACACGTGACCTTACCATCTCAGTCGATGAGCATTTATAACTTTATCAACGGATTTACTAACATTTCCTAATACCCCGTGTCTAACCTCACTATTACTCACCCAGCGATCCCAACAGATGCGAGCAATATTTCTAGAAGCACTATATATCTAGAAGCACTGAATGTCCGTTTCGCCCTAGCATGAGACTCCTCAGCATTGAGCACCCACTCTCTCTCGTGCGCGCGAGACACGAACCTAAGACCTTCTTCCCAGGAAAATGTGTAACCTATATAAACATATTCACTACTACAAAATATAGAAATCTAAACAATGTTTTTATTAATACTAACCATAAAATTTATATTTTTTATAGGGTTTACGATAATCATCTTGACAAGTTTTATAACATTCTGGTGTTGAATAATAATGACTTTCACATAGTGGATAACTTTTTGTACTTGAATGATGATTACATTTAGGGAATGGATATGGTTGACATCCTGTATGTGTTTCATTTGATCCTCCTGTAACAATACCTTCATATTTCCAATAATCCCATGCCATTCCTGGAATACCACCATTACAACCAAGACCACATCTTGTACAACAGCTTAATAGATTAACAGCACTTAATTCTACAGAGATTTTACATTTAGAATGAATACAGATACGATCACTCATTGGTTCAACAGCTCCAAAAGCCTACATCATTTTAAGACAGAAAAAAAACGGTTACACAATCCAACAGAATTGGAACATCATTTGAAAAGTTTCATCCTAATGTTATTTTTTTGTAAATTCTCATCTTTTCATACTTACTTACTTCGTGGAGGAGCATAGGCCACTCACCATCACTCTCCATCAAACCCTGTCCTCGGTAATCCTTTCCAGCTCTTTACACTTGTTATTCATCCTTTTCACATTTGCTTATATTTCCCTACATAATATGTTCCTTGACCTTCTTCTTTTCCTCTTCCCCTCAGAATTCCAAGTTAGCGCTTGTCTCGTGATTTCTATAATGTATGCTTTATCCATTTCCATCGTCTTTTCCTAATTTCCCCTTCACATGGAAGCTGGTTTGTTCTCTCCCACAGAAGGCTGTTGCTGATGGTATCTGGTCAATGGGTGTTGGGTATCTTGCGTAGACAGCTATTTACAACTATTTGTACCTTCTTGATGATGGTTGTAGAAGGTCTCTAAGTTTCAGCTCCGTACAGTAGAACTATCTTGACGTTCGTACTGTGGATTCTGACTCTCATATTGATTGACAGTCGTTTCGAATTCCATATGATCTTCAACTGTAGGAATGCTGTCCTTGCTTTGCCAACCCTCGCAGTTACATCGACGTCAGATCTTACTTGTTTATTGGTGATGCTGCCCAGGTGAGCATAACTTTCCCCATCTTCCAGAGATTCTACTTTAAGTGTGATTTAGCTGATTCTTTCTGTTTTGTATTTCGAGATCTTGTTTTTCCGTTGTGTATGATGAGGCCTACTGATACAGAGGCTACTGTTGTACTGTCTGTTTTTACCTGCGTTTGTTGATATGGATGGGACGTTTTCTAAGAAATTCAAAAAAGGGGAGAGCAAACAGTCCTGTCTAACGACAGTATTTACTTGGAATGCATCTATCAGTTGTCCTTCATGTCTAATTTCACAGTTTATTCCATATGATGTTGACGATTTTTTCAGGTACACCATAATTTTTTTATCCACGCTATCAAACGCTTTCTCATGGTCAAGGAAGTTGATTTATAATGACGAATTAAATTCAATTGATTGTTCAGCAGTGATTTAAAGTGCAGAATCGCGATCTGTGAATGAGCGGTCGTTGCGGGAACTAGCCTGGTCCCTCGAAGTTGGGCGTCTACTTAATCTTTCATCTGATTCAATAACACTCTGTTTATAACTTTTCTTGGTACTGACAGTAGTGTGATGCCTAAAGTCCTCATACTTTCTCAAATTTCCTTTCTTTGGCTCATGCTGAAAAGAAAAGATTCGATTCAAGACAGATGCTGTTGTATTCTGGTCATGAAGGAAAAAAAGTGCTCCGCACACGCAGGAACTTCCTGAAATGCTGTCCAAAGAAGCATGAAAAGCACCCATAAGATGGAAATCCTATCGATCTGGAATTCTGAAGGCATCCTTCAAAACAAAGAATGAAGGAATCACATTGAATTTTATCTAGTACATCCATCGATGATAGAGATAAAAATGATAAAGTTCAGAGACCTCAGTCAATTGTATAGAAGTGCTCAGGTAAGGAACCGGACTATCTTGATAGAACCTCTAAATCCCAAGGTCGGAATGGAGAACACCGACTATGAATATATCATGGGACGATATGGACTGGAAGAAAGGAATTTGAATAGTAAATGATTTGCAAATTTATATATAATTTCAACAAAATGGTTATAGGTCGATGCACCTGCATCCTAGGAATATCCAAATGATGAGACCCATAAAGTAAAAAATACTCATCCTGGATTCTGCTTCTAGTCATATTACATCTCTTCTACACAACGAAATCGTAGACAGTAACTTAGAGAGGTTTATATCACACTAGGAGTATCTATAAAAAGATACTATTTATCAGTTACTAGGCAGTTAAACTATGAAAAGAAACTGATATGATTAATGTATATATAACATCATTAAACGACATGATTCTATAATAAGGGGAAATAGAAACGATATTTATATAATGAGTCCGAAATAGAACAAAACGCTCGTAAAACTGAATTCCACTTCTACTCACTATCCATCTTTACTTTAAAAAGCTTGTAACTTAAAGCTATACCAAGGTAGTCCACACAGAATTCACATATGCCAACAAGAGACTACTGATCAATTACAGTCCTAAATAACAGACAGAAGATACAAGTAAACAACATCAAGTGAATGTAAAACTTCACCCTATTGCCGATACACACGTAAAACTGGATTCCACTTCTACCTGCTATCCATCTTTGCTTAGAAAACCTTGTGACTTAGGGCTATATCGAGACAATCTGCACAGAATTTACATGTGCTAACAAGGAGACTGATCATGTTAAACAACAAGAAGCGATATATATATATATATATATATATATATTATTTTGTAAAATATAACAAATCATCTATTACCCAACATGAACCACATGAAGATTGATCACGTATTGTTCGAATACTTGGACAATTCTTCCAATGTTTACGTGAATCAAAGAACTTTGGTAATTTAATATTAACATCATTATGTCTAATTGTTGGACGTTATTTTATTCTTTGATTATTATCTTCCAATATAACACCCATCATTAATTTAGCATCTTCAATTGTACTAAATCGATTGGTTTTTTGAGCTTTCCATCCAGCATTAGGCTACAATATATACAATACATGTATAGTTATTCATTTAAATTATCATTCAAAGTTGAATTTACTGTACTACTCAAATATTCTTGTAAATTTAATGCAAAACCAATAAGAATTATGTATATGCTTACAAATGATTGAATTGAAGATAGATAGAAGATATTCAATGTCATAACATATACAAGTCAACATCGTTTTAGTCAGATTCTGATGAGAATAATGAGTGGTAACCTTTGGGATCCATTTCTGAACCAATACTATACGTATATTTTGTATTGTTTAATTTTTAAGTAACTAAACTATTCATATTCATGTTCCCCTTATCATAAGCTTCATTTTGACCTATGAACTATTGTTATACGATTTACCATTCTTGAGTTATACCCAGTCTATTTCCACTTTTGACTAGATCTTGTACAAATGTTATCTTCTATGCTACGATGTGGTCTGTTTCGTTGGTATATAAAGTTCGTATGTTTGAAATAAATGATTCGTATTGCAAAAACTAAGATTGGTGTTCTGGACTCTAACAGGCAGAGCTAGGCAGGAAGCAGGACCAGTAAAGACTTCTTGTACGGGTTTTCATGCGTTATTGGTTCCATCGATCAATCACTGTTCTCTAATTTGTAGTATCGTTATATCATACATTAATAGGACAAAGGGCACAAGTTACAACAATTGGCGACGGGGTGGAAAACAAAGGACCAAGGGCATAAAATCATAAGTTATAACAGTTTTGAATAAATAAACACATCAATTAAGCACATACACATGTGATTATGTATTAACTGGTGACTGTGGTAGTCCAATCAAAATTAAATAGAGCAAGAACAAATATTGATACAGAATAGTATGAATTTATAATATTTCGAGCTTTCTGGCACCTGCTTACAAACCTAAAAATGTGATAGAATTTTTTTACATTGAAATAGTGTGAAACGAAATTCATTATCCGCACTGCAATGTTTTTTTACCCCCCACCACCACCCTTTTTAAATATTTTTTCAACCCTAAAATTACAATATTTTTCATCCCGTTTCTTCCAATGAAATGGCCAGTTTTAAAGTTCGTTTCAATTGTTTAGTTATGCTTTGTCGGATTTTTATAAAACATCAGTACTTGTCGACGAAGTACATTTTAATCATCATTATGGAGGAGAGTAACGTGCCGAGTGCAAGCGCTGTTGTTTCTCACGTAACAGAAATGGAGAAAGTCTTTTTGACAACCTTGTTTCTCGTTGCGTTCCCATCGGTTGAAGCGTTGAAGTCCGCTATCACAAATTATGAAAGATCAACTTACTGTCATTATGTAGCTCGAGATTCGCATTTGTGTAGAGATGAAAACTCGTATATTAAATTTGTGTGCTAGAGACATGGCCGTATAACATCTAGCGGTTTGTCACGGCGGATCAAACGGAGGAGGTAATTTTATTAATGTTAATAACACTTTTTGTTATGAAGGGCCTCCATGAACACTCAATGTCCGGCCTTCATGTATTGTAAGATTATCGACGGCTACTGGACTGTTGTAAGTGGGAATGTGCATCACAATCACGAGTGCAACTCCCTGAGGTACCAAAGTAATTCATGGGTGCGCAGGTTAACGGAGGCCGAGTTTGAAACTGTGCGACCGCTGCTAATATCTGGTACTGCTTCATTCCACCTCCGCCTGTAGCTCTTATAGGGTTGCTGCCGGTCCCAAGCCCGGGTAAAGGAGGAGGGTTGGGCATGGGGTTAGCGTCCCCATCCCGTAGAAAACTAACTCGCTAAAAAAACGCTTACCAGAAAAAATAATCCAAACCATTTTAACTCTGCCCTGGGAGTTAGAAGGTCTTCATTTAGAAGAATTATGACGCTTCATGGTGAAAGCCGAGTTCCTTCGGAAGCCACGAGGCCGATGCCCCTTCTAACAACCAGAGCAAAAATTTTTATAGGTACATGGAACGTTCGAACAATGTGGGAAACCGGGAAGACCAGTCAAATATAAATGGAAATGAGGAGATACAACTTAGCAGTACTGGGAATCAGCGAAACCCACTGGACCCAAGCTGGACAGAAAAGGCTAGCTACGGGAGAGATGCTGCTATACTCCGGTCACGAAGAGGACAATGCTCCACACACTCAGGGAGTCGCTGTTATGCTGTCCAAAGTAGCACGAAATGCACTTGTAGGATGGGAATCTCACGGATCCAGAATCATCAAAGCATCATTCAAAACAAAGAAGGAGGGGATCTTAATGAATATTATCCAATGTTATGCACCCACCAATGATAGCAACGACGACATTAAAGATCAATTCTACAAGCGGCTGCAGTCAATCATAGAG